GGTTGTAGCTAGTGTCATTTCTAGACCAAAGACATAAAAACAGGATTACACGAAGTCTTGACAGGCACACAAGGCATACATAAGGTAGGTTTATGCTATATTTCCAAAAACAAATTCAAGGTGACAGGATTGAACATCATAAGCTAGCAAACCACTCAAAATAGAGTTTCAAAGTAAAGCATGATTCAGAATTAACTTAGAAGGACTTTAGACATGAAGGTCCTAACATGAAGGTCTAGCAGAGTCATAGACAAGAACAAGTGAAATAGCACAAGAACAAGTGAAATAGCAGATTTCACATGAAAGTCTCCTAATGAAAATATGATCACAAACAGCATAACAAACAGGCTAGCGGTCATGATCTACAAAAGCAATCTCTTAGTTGAGCATGAGAAACTTTAAATGCTGAGTATCAGTCATAACAACAAAAGAACTCATGGTAGGTAAGAGACATGTCAACTCTAGATTAATAGGACAAGCTGGCATCAAGGACTCTCCCACTTAGCTCGAAGCCATAGAACATATCATCTATAACCCGTAGTACCCTTCCTTCGTAGCTTCCCCGATCTCGCAATATTAATCAGTTGAATACTTCATAAACTCATGTAACACTAGTCATAAAACACTCAAAAGACTCTGTCAAGTGCATACTCGTCCTTGTGAAAGTCGTGCGAACTTCTTCAAGCGATCCAAACTCTGATTGTAGCACATACATCACACTGGGTAGAAGGTCTTTATAGAGTCCCTCATAAGAATCACACAACCTCACTTCTCGCAGGAGAAAACTCACCTGCTTAGCCTCCAAATGACATCTCTCTATGACCCTACCATGGTCTTAACCACTATGCACTCAATTTAGCTTCCCGGGTCTTCATTCATTAACGAGATATAAGAATCCGCTTCGTCCCACAAATAAAAGACTGAAAGAGCCACCAACATATCCACATCTCAAAACTGCACAACACATCAAGACGATGATCAAGTAACCATAGCACTTTGCAGCCCATTCGCAGCATGACAAGCTGTCGGTGCACACTGATACCGAGTGCTCAACATCACATACGAATGAATGGGAAAAAATCAAAGATACAAGCTTCAAGCTGAAACAAGGCACGATAAGGAAAGAAAGAAGGGAAGCTTTCTAGATGCTCTGTAGCCTCTAAAAAATAAGTATGGACGTCATCATGCCAATCTGCAAGACTCTACTAGGCACTTGCTCATGACTCGTAGAACCTATGAACCTAGAGCTCTGATACCAACTTGTCACGATCCAAATTTTTGCCAAGTCGTAATGGCACCTAACGGAACCCACTAGGTAAGCCAAACAACTTAAGTCACTACTGTAATAAGAAATCATCAATATTATAAATAAAAATTGCAAAAAAATTCAGTACAACTATTCCAAGGACTAGTAGTACAAGTCATGAGCCACTATGATTCAGATTTACAAAGATGGTAAGAGAATATATACAACATATGTTTGAAGTTTACATAAACATATATGAAGTCTGAAACTACCACGAATACAAGGACATGAAAATAATATAGTGTGGTGCTCAAGATATAATAACTGCGGCTAAATCAATTTAGCAATGATTCCACAAATGCTCATCTTGGCTAATTAGGAAATTGAAATCAAAAAATATGGTCTCTAGCATGAAAAGATGAACTCGTGTAGTCATACAAATGATCGCACATATATCACATAGAGCACACGTTCAAATCATGGCACTAACACAAGAGCCACAAGTATGGGTATGTGTTCATAACATACATGTGACTACATCCGAGGCAAATATAGCATCAATATCAAGATTAGTTTATCATGTTAAAAATAAAGCACCAATAGCCTTAACATTAATTCGAGCATGGTTTATTATACTCACATAGTCAATCAATTGAATAACACATAGAATCAAGTAGAACACACAACCCAATAAGATATAGAGTAATCTAGAATCTACCTCGAGCATGAATACCCATGGCATATGTATATATGCTTGTCACCACAGAAATACACCACCCCCGCATGTAGCAAACAATATCAATTATTAGAAAAAATTTCCTTTAGGCAAGACACTTACCTCAAACGGGCTAGTCTTTAACCTCAAACCGCGTCAAAATCTCATTCTAGCCCTCCAATCATGCAAATCCAAGCCAAACATCATCTAAGAAAGTCAAACAATGGTATAGGAAGCAATCTCATTCAATAAAGCTTCGATCTATGATTAAATCCTAAAAAATTTAACAAAAGTCAATCCGGCCCGCGTACTCGAACTTCAAAACCAATACCAAATCTTGATGACCCATAACCTACCGAATCCAAATATGTAATTACTTTCCAAATTCGAGTTCAAATCGGTGTTCAAAATCCCAAAATATTTTTTTTTATCTTGTAGACAAAATCCCAAATTTTAATTTAAAAATCTAAAATTTAGATGTAGAAATTCATGAGAAATACACCAATTGTCTTATCCCGAATCATATGTTAGATGATTCTAAAACTCACTTTTGATAAGCCCAACATAATTCTTGCGACATTTCACGCAAGATAGCCTTTTGAATCACCCAATTTGGCCTTAAAATGAGAAAGACGTGATATTTTAAAGCTTTAAAGGAAGTCTGAAATTTATGGACGAACTCAGGGACTTAACTAGTATTTTTGGAATTATTGCACCAGAAAATCAACAATTACAAAATCTTCATTTTAGCACCCGAAACTCATTCAGAACCTCCCGGACACAAACCATATATGCATTTCAATCAGAAAATACACTACGAACCTGCTCGCGCACTCATAACACCGAAAAGAGGTCGTCTTGACCCAATATTAACCTTGGTCAAACTCCAAATCCTTAACTTAACTAGTCTCTCATCCAGTGATCCAAAACACACCCGAGCCTCTCAGGACCCCATCCAATCATACCAATAAGTATAAATATATTATCCAAACTTATCTATAGGCTCAAAACACCCACGGGAACATCAGAACAAAGACTCGAGGTTCAACCCGAATAGAATTTTTCTTAAGTTGTTAAATCTTCATTCTTTCAAAAGAATGTCCGAATCACACTTACACACTTTGGATTACTTCCAAACATCGCACATGAGTTTGATTCAACTATATGAACCTATCCAAGGTTTAAAAACCACAATAGGAGCCCGATAACACCAAAGTCAACTCCCGGTCAAACCTATGACTCTCCAATTTTTTAAATTGCCAACTTTCGACAAATAGAGCCAAAACCTTCTAGGAAAATTCAAATTCAAATCTCAACATACGCCCAAGTCCAAAATCACCATACGATCTACTGAAACCATCAAATCCAGATTCGAGGTTGTTTACTCAAAAGTCAAACCTTGGTAAACTCTTCCAACATTGCCTTCCAAATTGAGAATCACTCTATCAAATCAATCCCCAACCTTGCGAACATCAAAACCAATCATATACGCAAGTCATAATACATCATATGAACCTAGTCAAGGTCTCAAACTGCCGAATAGAGTGGTAAAACTAAAAACGAGCGGTCGAGTCGTTACACGTATGATTTTAGATCTAATTTTTCTTAATTTAGCACCTTCAATCAACATGTTTTCACGTCTAAGAACTCCAAATGGAATTGATGAAGTAGGAAATAAAGTAAACAAATCTTTAATTAAGAAGTAACATAATTAAGACGGATAATTACGTACCTTATTTTTATATTGCATCCCAACTAATTAATGCAAATCATTTATATAACATATTGATATTCGGATTAATGCGGAGATGTGGATCAACTGCAGAGGCCTTTCAGGAAAACTAATCTTCAGAATACCGACCTGATCACATTAATACATAAATGACCCAATAATCTGTCAATATCTGACTATCCAAGTGTAGAAGGTGGGTGCCTCCCACTCGTAGAATTGGATAAACGTATTCCACTTTTACTTTCCGGTCCGGCGTACAAAATATCCCGCGATCATGCAAGATCCGAGGAAGAACCGCACTTCAAAGAATGTGATGGAGACGGTGTATCCTACCCAAAGGAGGACATTTTATTTTGAATTTGCAAAGTAGGGCGACAACACTATTTACTTTTAATTATTTTGAACGAGCTTTCATACTATTTACAGTCCTTCTAGTCAGTGGCGGATGTACATGGACACTTATGGGTGCTTGAGCGCCCATTACTTTTAACCAGATTTAGTAAATTTACACATGCAATTATAAAAATAATTAGTTAAATATAGAGTGAGCACCCACAAATAAACTCACTTTTCCTCTTCTTTTGGATTTTTTTATCGGCGAGCACCCATCAGTTTAAAATTCTGAATCCGCCACTGCTTCTAGTCCTTTAAAATGTCTCACCAACTAATTGTGAAACCATTCTTTTTTGGGATCATTCCCTTCAAATCTTATCAGGTTTCGGCTTGTATAACAGTAACAGAAAATAGGGACATTCCTCATGTTCATAACGAAGTGTTCTACGTATAATGTTCAGAGTATTGACTCTAAACAATTCGAAGTCTGTTGTATTGGTCGAAGTATCGCATTAGCAGAAATAACCCTTTCTCTAACCTAACGATAAGTCACAAAATTACTTTGTCACAAATAACTGAAGTTGTGAATTGCTCAAAGAATAAATGACTGGAAGCCCCAACGACACATCACTTGCCACGTCAGCCCATTGCTACTTACAAATTCCATATCAAGAAATAAGATGTGTATAACTTTTGAGAACTCGTATTTTAAACAAAAGCCAAAAGAAATGCAAATGAAACGCAAATAAACCTTGTAAATCGAAGGGGTAAAAAAAACGAACCAACAATTCTACAAAGACGAAAACCAGCCAAACCAAAATTTTCAAAAACCTAAATGAACCAATAATTTGCTTTTAAAATGTTTGTAAGAGTTTAGAATTTCCAAATCATGTCTTGCTTTTAAGTTGGCGAAGCAGGTCATGGTTTACTTCAAAGAGCAAGGCGAATTGGAAAGGAAAGTAAACACATGCACAACATGCCAAATGCTGTCAATTTCAAAGATGTTGCAACTAAATCCTGTATGGTATCAGTACTAATGCAAGTCATATATGCCCAAAGTTGTAAAGGCATTAGATGCTTCAAAACCAAACAAATTTCCTTATGAAAATTGTGAATACCAATGTAAGCGGTCAAAACAGGCAGCCACAGGTGACTGCTTCTCAGTAACACTGTCGGTCACAATTCCTATTGTAACGATAGAACTACACAGAATAACGATTCTTGGCACCTCTGTCTAGCTTCTTTGCATCATCCTGCAAAATGATGGCTCTTGATGAATTGAGCAAATCAATGAACAAGCAAATGATTTCAAGGCATTAAATAACAAAGAAATCTTACATGAAATATAAAGCCAATCGAGTCATTGTAATCCAGAAATTCCTTCCATTGTTTACCAATGCTCACCTGCAATGGAAAAACTCATTTAGATGCAGGTGGATAAGGCTAGTGAATAACAACAACAACAACAACAAACCCAGTTTGATCCCAACATGTGGGGTCTGGGGAGGGTAGTCTGTACGCAGACCTTACCCCTATTTAATGCAGGTAGAGAGGCCGTTTCCAATAGACCCTCGGCTCAAGAAGGGCTAGTGAATAAAAGAAGAGGTTTTTGGTTGAGCATAACCACGAGAGACAGCCTTGCATTACATATCTCAGAACTAAGGAATCAAAGATATTTAGCCATTGCATATATGGACCGAGTACATTCAACCACACATAGTGAATTAATACTCGGCAAACTTGGGGCGAAAATACTTATTGTTACATTTTTTATTCTCACAAGATTTTTCTCATTGCAACTAGGTAGCTCTGGTAAAAATCTATCATAACATCACAAACATCAGAAAGAAAGCTACTTTTTTTTTTTTGATGAAGCAGAAAGAAAGCTACTTTACAAGACTCTGATGCTGCAACTCGAGGAATGATGACAAATTTCACTTATGACTTTACACCGACATACCAAGCAGTGTTGCCAATGGCTCACTTGAGGGGCCATTAAGCCCCGAAGCTAGGCGAAAAATAGGATGTGCACTTGGCCTCGCTTAAGTGTCACTTCAGTGTAGTCACCAAGGTGCTAAGGGGTGCGTCTAGCCCATGGGCTTTGTCTTGAGGAGAGCAAAAATAAACAATAAATATTTTATCCAACCGTAATTCTTTTTCAATCTTGTTCTCTAGCTAATTGTTACTTGGGTTATACTTTTATTCCTGAAGTACTTTTTTCTTTAATCTTTCTCTTTCACTGCGCCTTTCTTCATTAAAGCCCTCACTTTGTTTGCATTTTGCACTTAAAGCCCCAATTGACTTCAGCACTTTTTTCTCACTTTGTCTTCGGTGACACTGATACCAAGCAGGAGCGAAGCTTAACATACCTTTTAAGAAATAAAGGTCTCTCAGGGAAAACAAATTTAAATAGAAAGGCTACAATTGGACCAAGTCCCGTTAAGGAGTTGAGAGCGAATATGAGAATGCAAATTCTAAACTACATCATGCTCTGGAAAGGAAACCCAAAACGACCATGATTAACACTAACTTCTGAGAATAAACTTTCTATTTTGATATCAGATCATAGCTAAAACCTTGAAACCTCTTCCTGTCTCAAAGCTCTTCTTATCATTCCTGCTAAACATCTTAATGGGTTTGAAATGAACGTATTAGAATTAAGTACGAATATGAAAATGCAATTTCTAAAACTACATCCCTATTATTTTCTCCAAGTTATTATTGCTATCAGCTACAGAACAAATACCACAGATGATGAAAAGTTAGCACCAATTGTCAGCAACAATAGTTTACTTCAACATTTCACAAAGGGTAGATGACACAACAGGGGTTGTGACACCAAAATAAGACTTCAAGGTTGGTCATTAAAAAACAGTATAAAGGTAAATTTGATACTTTTTAGATATTGTAGGATTTTTTATCTCAAACTAGTACAACTGCCTGAGGTTAGCTGAGAGTTTAAGATCCTCTGCTATCATTTGGCCTTCACCAGAGACCAATTCAATCTCTAACTATAAAATGAAAGACTACCTTAACATATTACTCCCTCTGTTTAATTTTATATGCGGTGTTTGATTGGACACAGTTTAAGAAAGAAAGAAAGAAAGACTGACTTTCGAAACTTGTGGACTTAAACATGCTATGATATTATGTGGCTATTAAAGCTTGTCAATAAGGGTAAAATGAAAATTTTAAGCTTAAATTGTTTCCAAATATAAAAAACATGGCCTTTTTTCGGAAAATTAAAGTGGAAAGAGTGACACATAAATAGAAGAGGGAGTATTAAATAAACTTCCACTTTTTGTCTCGTCCACAAGAAAATCTAATTCAATTTTAAGCTACATCTTTGGCTTTTATAAAATCAAAGAAATTCATTATACATTAAAGGCTATATTTTAGAAAAATATTCTTCCTTTTAAAAATTAGGTTCGACAAATAGATAAGATGCTGATGTTTGATATACTGTCTCCCAACAGCACATGCACCAAATAAAATACCAAGAGTTAGGCAAATGAGAAGAAATCACTACATTTTTCGCCTCTATTAGGACATAAATGCTGATCTTTTCTTTTCGTTTCAACTTCATTTCGTTTAAGTTTTCATTGACTGTTATGCTACATTCATGTATGGATGAAAATGTGGCTTCATACCTGAACAATTTCACTCCATTAAATAATATCATAAATAAATTGATAAAATACATCTTGTTAGGAACTACATATTAGTTTCTAGTTGTGAAAGCAGGCTATCTCCGGGAATTTAAGAACGGTATCTATTAAAGGATTAAAGATACCTGATGTGATCAATTATATAATATGAGCATAAGATATCGATGCGTGGAACCTTCAGCACTAGGCTGCCTTTTGCACATATATTTAACCAAAATACTAGAGAGAATGCATACAGCACAATAAACATAGAAAAACTAAAACTTCACATGTAAGTGTATGCTATTTCACAAGTAAACAGCCAAAGACTACAGACACATGAACCGAGTGTTTTACTCTTGATGACACTGTCTTCTCTTAATGCATCTCCAGATGTTTATACACTTCCATGAAAGACCATTTAGAAAGTTTCAAGAATTCAAATTAAAATTGCCACTGCAGATATGACCCTTTCCGACAATCTTTCCCTTTGGCACATCCCTCATTGTTGATTTAAAGTCTATTTTGGAAGTTTCAAGAATTCTAAATTGTGAGCAATGCCATTACTCCAAAAAGGTTTTAAAAAAAAAAATTAAAAAAAAAATGGCAGATGTTCTCAGAGTCAAGCTTAACACTATCTACTGTTAATCCTAGTATTTTCTACTAAAACTATTGTTAAATGGAGTCACCGAATGGATTAAGCGATGTTAAGAGGATCACGACAACGTTAGACTATATTTTTCTGTTTCTCAACGTCGTCCTTCAAAATAATGAACCTCAAAATAATAAATACATAGATCCATTTTGTTTACAGAAATTACCTGAGCTGTTTCATTGGCAGCATTCCTGGTCCACAAAGCTATTTTTTCTTGTCTAACTCGAACATTAATAACAGCTCCACAAATTTCATCTCCACAGTCAAATTGCTCTCCAATCATAGCCAGCAGCTATAATTAATTTATGGCAAAAAATATGAGCACAAACTTCATCCCCGCGGAAAAAAAACCAACCAGAGTGGACACAAGATTAAGAATCAGATATAGCATCATGAGTATACCGTATACAGCCAGCAGGTATCAGATTTACCCCTCGAAAAGCTCATTGTCCACTTTCCTCCGTTGGCGCAGACAGGATCCTCCCACTTTGGCTCAATTTTATTCTTAAAACAGTGAAAGTCTGCCCCCACAGCCAATTTGCTTGGGCGGTGGATGTTGTTGTACACACTGTATGCAGGAGAAGATTCCATAGATCAATATCCAGTCCACGATCTTAGAATATCAAATGCTGCCAAACATGCTCAATATTTTTTCTTTTTTGGGTCTAACACGCTCACTTCATGATCTTATTATTCTTTTGTTTTTGGGGGATATACACACACACACACACACTAGTTGAATGATAACATGAGCGTCTTGAGGAAGATGATTAAAGAAATCACCAATGTAGGAACACGTGTTCAAAGGTCTAAACCAAAATCCCATAATTACAATACATTCACCAAATCATCAATTTGATAGAAAAGTATATGTCATAGATGATAAGCCCAACTCCATCAAAGTGACCCAGCACTAATAAGTGTATATTCATCAAATGAGATATAAGTGTAATTATCCCTAACCTGAAAATAAAAAACCAATTACAATTCTCTGTTGCACAAATAGCTGCTCCTAAAAGGATGACAAATGCTCAAATCATTGCAAAAGAAGTAAACATGACTTTGCTCGTAAACATGTACCGAGGAATTCAGAAGTGCTAGACATTTGAAAATAGCAACCAAAAAATTTTTTTTATGAGAGTAAACTGGAAGGGAAAATGAATAAATTGCAAAAAAAAAATTACAACGGAAAGGATGGTGAAATCAACCAATGAGAATTGTTTATACTGCACTTTTAAGAATGGATTCCACTACCTAATAGCCCGACAGGATATTTTGCAACATATGCCTAGTTGCTAATATTTGTGTTCGGCAAATACGAAAAAAATGCCATTAAATATCTATTATAATGGCAGTGTACGACTAACTAGCTCAAACTGCCTATTCCACTACCAGCATAGGAGAAGTCATTGAACATTTATTTATCACAAAGACACCAGCTAAATGAAGTAAAAGAAGCAATCACACACAACAAAAATAGAAAGAAAGCAACATATATTTCTGCCTAATTCATTTACCAACTAGAAGTCTTATGCAGACCCAATAAAACTTCCATAAAATGAAGCTCTACAAACCCTGGCATCACAAAGTAAGATCAATGTATAACCTCGACAACACCCTAAGAAAAAATGTATAACTACCAAAATGAAAAGAAGATGGCACAATTATAGAGATCCGACTCAGTGCCAAACTGGTGGGAGGTATCATGTATTGAATGGACTAGTCCACAAAAAATAAAACATAAAGGCGAAGATCAAACAAGATCTTTAACCCAATATTCATTCACCGTAAGAAGACGATTAATCAAAGCATTGTGAACCCTAATCCAACAAATTCAATCTTTCTAGCTAGAACTCGGTCTGAATAAGAATCATTGATTTCCCCAAGAATGAAAGAAAGAAAGAAAGAAATACAAGAAACCAAAGTACGTACCTCCAAAAATCTTCGACGGTGGAGAAGGTGTAAATGGGTCGAATGGAACTACCCCAAGCAGCCTGTTTCGATTTCGCTGATGGGTTATCAAACCAAAATGTCCATGAATGTTCTAGGGGGTGTTTCATTGCCTTGCTTGGGTTCCCTAAAGACGACATCGTATCATCCAATTCCCCCACGATCTCTCCTTCCTCTTCCACCTCACGAGTATTAATCTTCGATTCCTCTAACGACACCGGTTTCTCTACTTCATCAACCATTTTGGTGTTCTCAACACTATAGCTTTCGTCGGGAAATTTGTGACTTTGATGATGGGTTTCAATTGAAATGGTGTAACTTCTCACAGAAATTCCGAAATTGTATTCATATATTGAGGAAAAGTTTAATGTTTTCTCGATAAAGTGTCAAAATTACCCTTCAACTATCGAAAATACATTACTTTTGCCCTTCATTATCTTTTGGTATCAAAAATATCCCTGCGCTTCAAACAATGGGCCTATAATATCCTTTTTCCTTAATCTGTTTGAATTGAAGTCCGTAGGTTTGTGGTATTAAGCTAGCGATTGGCCATAGATTCCAAATTTATTTTAAAAAATCTAATTTGGGTGAAGTTTGGTTTGAAGATAAAAATGTGTTTGGACATACGTTTTCAAAACATATTTTCCAACTTTATTTTGGAAAAACATGTATATAATTCCCAAGTTTTGGGATTTTGGCCCAAAATCAGCTCAATAGCTGATTTTGGAATTTGGGATTTGGGATTTGGCCAAAATATGGGTAAAATTTATGGCCAAATATGAGTTTTGAAAATAAATTCCAAATTTATTTTAGCAAAACTCATGGCCAAACGGGACCTAAGATTACCATATTAGTACTAATTTTAGGAAGCCGAAAACGAAAGGAAAAGGGAGAGAACCAAGTCCTAATCCAACACAAACAATAAAAAATAAAGAAGGAAGTGTTATAAATAGAATTTTATTTATGGTGAATGTCTATATTTAGAGAGATTCTAGGGTTTATTACTTGGTGGCTAAGTCACTCTCTCCCTATAAATAGAGGGTTCTATTCCATTGTAATTTATCCCAAATCAATAAGAACTCTCTCCCTCTACTTTTCTCTGTAATACTCCTCTTGTTCTTTTATTATTGTTTCATAACACGTTATCAGCACGAGACTCTAACCAATTGAGTAGAAGCTTTGGGATTGATCATAATGATTGTCAATTGTTCTATGAATTTCCTTCATGCTTAAATTCTGGATTTAAGGTAAGTATTTTACCGTATTTTTCTCTTTTATTCTATAATTTGATTTTAAATACAAGCAAAGACAATAAATTTTGATTACAACTCTAATGGAGTTTGTAAGAAATATAACCACCCGAAGTGGTAAATTTTCTATGTCTTGCCATGATCAAAGTCATGTATGATCGTGAGCACAAGAAGTGAAAACCCGTCCCATTGAATTTGCTCCATTCTCATTCCCTTAAGAGAATGTGATAGCAATATGTGATAAGTCTGAAAGAAGACAAAATTATTACCGTGAAGGTATCAATGGATGTGGACGTGGCAATACACGAAATTATAATCGTCATCATTGTGATAATGAGAATAATAAGGATTCTCAAGATAATCTTTCGCTCTGTGACAGTAATATTTGTCATCGATTTGACATGAGATTTTATAAAGCACATATAGATGATTATGGTCCATTCATGATGTGAATGTGACAACATCTTATTTATGAATACATATTCATTCTTGGAAGAATATGAACGTGCTAGTGGTAGTGAATATACCACACTCACCTCTAGAAGGAGGTTTGAGATGATATAAGAAAATAATGTCATTATTATGGCATGAATGGTCATTGGTCACGTACTTATTGTATGCCAAAATATTTTGGCATTGTGATTATTAAAAGACAACAGTAATGCAAGAAACAGATCTTACATATAATTTTGACCATAACCATAATGGTATAACTTTCTCTTTAAAAGAGATATTCACCATATGGATGTTGATGAATATGTGGTAGTACCAAATTAATTGAGAGCTCTGGAAGAGCCAATTATTACTATTTTGGAGAAACACAATTGATTACCAATAATGTATTGTGTTGTAGTAAGTCTCAAAGAAACTTATTCAGTTTTCAAAGTATACGCGAAAGCGGTTGATTATATTGAGACTATAAATAAAGGAAAGATTTAATATCTTCTATTACTACAACTTGTAGCGGGGTAATATGTATGTGAAAAGCTACCCGCTTTATTCTCCAATTTGTACTACATAAACAAAAGAATACCACAATGAAGTGGATATTTATTGATATAAAAACCCATATCATAATAAACTTGGAGTTTATTCATAATTGCACACATCATGGTGTAAACCTGAAGTTTATCAATATTGATAATTTATCCAGTTGGCATAATTGGTTTAGCCATGTTAATTCAAGTATGATGTGCAAAAATAAAAGAGAATTCACATGGGTAAATATTAAAGAACTAGAAAGTTCTTTACGAATTCTCTTACATTGCTTGTTCTCATTAATTAATAGACCAATTAAAATTGGGATTGAATCCCATGAATGCTGGAAATATCAAAGGTGAATATGGGCCCATTCACCTGCCATGTATACCACATAAGATGCATCTATGAGATGGTTACATGTGCGATTATTATTAACCCGCAACATGGTGTTTGCGAGGTAACTTGCTCAATAATTTAATTTAGAGCATAATTTCCAGATTTTTTATTCAAGATAGTTCATCTTGATAAGTTGGTTTACATCACAGTTGGTTTAGCAAAATGATTTATTGAGTGCCTCCACTTAATAGCTAAACTATTGCTTATGAGAACAAAGTTATCTATATCAGTTTGATATAGGTTATATACGAAAGTATATTACATTCTCCCCTCACAAGTGGTTCAGGGTCAGGAACCAAATAATTCCATCTTATTATTATTGATGTGCGGTGTATATTTTGATTAACACCATAACGCACAAAGATGGGTTCTCAAAGTTGAGGAAACAAGTTAGTTTTTCTAACATGAGGGGGAGACAAGATACAACAGTTGAGAAAAAGTTACATGGAATGAATTATCATTTATACATCTAGATCCCCGAATAAAATAATATGAACTTGAAGTTCATAAAAGGATAATTCATGTGCAATTTATTGCAAAGCATGCCAGACGCATTTGCTGACCCAAAGAAAGTAACTATATTCTCATTGCAAATGCTCCTATTAAGTCCTAGAAGGACAAAGTCTATGGTACGCTTAAAGCGTATAGACAAATCGGTTTCAAATAAACTTCTTGATAAAGAAGATGAGCAAATGATCAAAATGATCATAATAAAGGAGGCAAGTGATCTAGAAGATCACATGACATAACACTTCATAAAATCTCATGAGAGATTCAGGTACCTGAATATATGAATGAAGAGATCTCTATGTTATGTCTTTATGAAAAATAAGGAGGTTGGAACCGATATAAAATGTTTGTCGACGACATCTATAATAGCGCTAAATATATATGAGGATCTTAAGTCTGGAGAAACAATTCAAGTAGAATTTGGTTTCATATGAAAGACATGTAGTTTTGGACCTGCAGTTCAAACACTTGAAAGTATAAAGTCAATGGTATGTGCAATCAGTTTTCGATATCTTATATGTCTAGCATGACATGAAAACTTGATATGCATCTAAAGTCTATTATATGGCTTATATGACTTAACAATCCCTGAAGGATTTAAATTGCTTAAAGCATATAGAATTCATGGTCATGAAGTACTACATCCTCAATGCAATTTGTGCACAAATGTATCTTGCTATAACTATATGCATGATAATATGATAGCAAGAGTTTTCACCTCTATGTGAAGATATTGAACTGACGATTCCAACAAGATCATATGAAGACAATTCATCTCTATCAAGAATGATGATTTCAAGGTGCAATATATTCATTCAAGTTAATATGGCTGATTTGTTTATCAAATATCTACCAAAGATCTTTTGAAGATGGTGCACAAGATTGGAATGCAAATGCTCAAGGATGTGAATTGATGCTCTCATCAGGGGGAGTTAATACGCGTTGTACTCTTTTTCCCTTACAAGGTTTTGTCCCACTGGGTTTTCCTTGCAAGGTTTTTAACGAGGCAACCAAAAGGCGTATTGTAGATATGTGTACTATTTTTCCTTCTCTAGAATTTTTTTCCCACTGGGTTTTATTTTAGTTAAAGTTTTAACGAGGCACATTATCGGTTGAATAGATATTCAGGGGGAGTGTTATAAATAGAATTTTATTTATGGTGAATGTCTATATTTAGAGAGATTCTAGGGTTTATTACTTGGTGGCTAAGTCACTCTCTCCCTATAAATAGAGGGTTCTATTCCATTGTAATTCATTCCAAATCAATAAGAATTCTCTCCCTCTACTTTTCTCTGCAATACTCTCTTTTATTATTGTTTCATAACAGGAAGCCTATTGTTGTCTCCTCTATATAATATTCTAATGAACTGCAAAGCTACATGTAATTTTTTACAATCTCAAACAATGGCAGCTACAACAATATTAGCTCCCTCTTCTTTTCTCACAAAAACAATACTAGTTGTATTTATTCTACTAATTACATCCGCTTCCACCGCCCTCTCCACCAGAAAACTACTGCTCTCATCAAACAATAATATAAATATAACTACTACCGCTATCCCCACAACACTAACGTCTCCTAATTCCACTTCCAATAATCTTCAACAGGACAATATTCCTAACTGTAATGAACATGATCGTCGTCCAACCTCCAAGGAGCATATACGAGCGGCTTTTGAAGTGGTTGTCATCCTTGTTCTGGTTTTTGCGACTTTCTCCTGTGTTATCGGTATACTCCACCGCTGCCTATACAAATATTTATCTTGTAGTTTGGACAATTTGAAGTAATTTCCTGCTCCAATTATAGTCAGTATCTTCCTGTTAGGCTATCTATTCTCTCAAAAGTAAGGGCAAGGCCATTGGATAAATTAAATTGTGCATTGCTTTTCATTTTTTTAAAGTTTTCAAGCATTGCAACAAGCGTATTGAATAAATGAAAATTTGTAGTGATATCAAGTTATCAACTTCTAAAATCAAGTTGCATTATTCTAACTTTCACTTATCATATACTTAAATTTTAGCATGAGTAGATTTAACTTATAGGTGTATATTGATTTTTTTGTTGAATATTAGAATTCAGATGTGCCAACTAAATAATATAAATCAAATTACTCAAAATACATAATATATATATATATATATATATATATATATATAAGAGGAGAAGAACTGAACTTCAATACAATCTCAAAAAAGAGCTATTTAAACATTATCTTAAGAAAAATTAGATGAATTGGCTAAATTATCAACTGAAAAAGAAATTTAAAGAGAATCAATTATAAAAGCATATTAATAGCGACGCATCTTAAAAATTAGAAAATTTACTTTAAATAAAAGTATATACGTGATTTTTTTTCTTTT